GCATAAACACATTTCATTACACCAAATACACCAAATAATGTTCTTTTTAGCAACATCATATGACCCCTTTAAAGTTACTTGTTTCATTGCTGACTGAATCAGTATTTTGAACAAATCTTATTAGTCTATGATTTTTGACTCATCTATTTTTGACTCATACATCCTTACACCAGTTGGTCGGTCACTATCGCCAAGACGGTCACCATCGCCATCAACTGGTGTAACGATGTAACCTGCAGAAAGAGTCTGCAAAAATCCCCACCACTTTTTACCATGTCGACAAATTTTGCTAGGGCACATTTTCTTCATATTTTTTGTAATAATACCATGTAATAATACCATTTAGGCAGCCATTGTTAAATATATACATAAAATCTAACATCCAAAATCATTTTGTCCAAAAAACTACACATTTTCTGTATATGCTAATGCATTACCTTGGAATCAAACCTGTTACCTTACACAGATGAATAATGAACAGCTGATAATGTTAGAATCTCATAAAATGAGACTTGACATCATCATCAGCTTATTAAGATCCTTGGTAGCCCACAGAATTATGTGTTATGTTGAACCTGTCCCTTCTGGCGGCAATGACCTCACTGATTCAAGCTTAATGAGTCAACAAAAGTGACAGTATTTTTTTTAAGCTTGCCATTGCCCACCGGTATATGATGTTTGTTAGCTCTATATAAATATCATGCAAGTGCTATCCCTTTTTAACCTGAACCTGTCATGTGTCCATGTAGGGGGGGAAATCTGAGCAAATAAAGCCATGTGGCTCCAAATTAAAACTGAACCACCACTCATTGTAACCCAAGATACGTCCCATGGTTAACAACAGAGCCCAAGCCTCACCTTAGGCTCGATGAAATAAATAACTCATATCATGGAACAGCAAATATGATGACAGTTTCTTAAACGCCAGGCTTTCTAGGTGCTCAATTAGCCTTTGGAGACCTTGATAGCTAAACTAATTAGTAATCTGCACAGCAAAACCCATAATGGATCAGTGTCTACTGACGTACAGTTACACACCAACAAGCCATTACAATCCTGATTCATTTGAATAACTCAAATAATGCTTATTTTGAGAGTTTCTCATCTTCATCCAACAGCATTCGTGCCTGATGACCTGGCCACAAGTTGATCTTCCTCGAACAACAGGGGCCTGAAAGCCAGGCATGAAATCTGTCTGTTAAAATGGTGCATATCTGTGAAAAGCACTTCACACGTTCTCTCCGTTTCATCACCAAACACATGGTGCTTTTCAAGCATGCTGCCACGGCACAGAAGACAACCGAGAGACGGCAGACGAGAAGAATTAATAACGATCCGGCCAAATCTTCTGGCCCGGTAAGAGAAAACAAAACTGAAGCTCTCCGTTATCTCTCTGTCCGTGCATGCTTTCAAACAAACAGCAAGGAGATAACTGAGATGTTTTGATAAACAGGATCTCAGTGCTTTAGACGTCCTTCATCCCATTAGCATGCTCCAAGCGGTGTGCATTTCATGTGAAACCGTGAAATTTGCAGGGGCCAGCATTGAGCATTCTGTAGATAACATTACACCCCTTTGATCCAGCTTTGTCCCTCATCATCTACAGCTCATTCAATGGGCTTATTTACAGATGCGATCAGGCACCCTGTGGAAAGATCCGCCAGTCAGCTTTCCAGATCAATACAGCATTCCCTCCTAATGGAAAGGCTTCATCACCTCCTTTCCAGCACTGTAAAATACTCACACCTGAAATACCAATTAATGCATTTGTAAACAACAATAGTCTTGACATATGGATAACATCACTTCATGATGTTTTAAACGGCAGTTGAACATGAAGGCAAGACTTTTCATTAGTGTGAGGAGCTTTAATCTTCCACCCCAGGTCTACAACAACATCCAGTGCTGCTTAACAGTGCTTATTTTAAATAGTACACAATGGCAACGTAATAGTTGTAGATATCTCGAAACCCTATATTCAGTCTGACAACGCTGGAAGTGGACCAAACTGAGCTCATGGGGATGTGCTGGTAGTCCTCGTGGCATTTCAAATCACCTGTTCAGCAGAAACTCTGGATTAAAGTATCTCAAATAGCCATTTATATCAACTTAATACAGTTCTCAAGGTGAAAAACCTTTGCAAATGATGTGCAGAGTTACCCGCCATGTCATTATAGAGCTTTGTTAAGGTGTTTAAGAGAGAGACAAAAATCACATCCTTATTTATTCCCAAATTCACTACACCTTCCACTCACCCACCTTCCATTTCAAATTTGGGTCAGTCTCTTTAAATGAGCTGCGATGCCAAAATCTATTGTTAAACTGAGCACAGATGCCTGAGCTCTTTTTCTCTCTCTTTATTCAGCACATTGAGGCAGGTTTGTTGGAATTGAATTTTGTGCTACTTTCCTCCATCTTAACCAAAATAACAGACATCTTTAATAGAACTGAGCTAACCTGAAATAGTGCATTACCCCGCAAACAAACACTAAGTGCGATGGAATGACATTGTACACTCACCAAATGATGTCCAGGGAACAAACGCTCTCCTCTCTCCGCTTTAAATCCGTAACTCAGCTGGATAAGAATCCTACGTTCATGCTCTGCTGAGGTTATTTAAGGAAACGAACTGTTCTCTGAATTTTGACAGTGAGGGACAAGCATCGGCTGCTGAAGGAGCGAATCGCTGCGGCTCGCGCGGAGGCAAAGCGCGCGGTGATGCTGCCTTTTCTCTATCACAAGCCTTCATCCACACACACACACACACACACACACACACACACCCAGCTTTAACGCTGAATTCATTCATAGAGCACCATCTTCTGGCAGTAGGCTACATGAACATATTTTACACGCCTGTCCTTTATTCGGCATAAATTATTTTAACTAATACCCTTCTTTTGTAACACATTTAATGAAGCGTATGAATTTGATTTATTGCTAATTTAGACTAAAGAATTGTGTTTTATGATTGTAGTACATTGTTTAAATTATTAGCAACATTTTCAGTGCTTATTAATTTTGATACCGCTGAGTAGCCCTGAGAGTTGTTTTGGTTAATATTTCTTTTACTTTACTTTATGTGTTATATTTATTTTGTGCGTCAATTTTGTACGTTCGTTTTGCAATGTAGCCTAATATAGCCTAAAATATAGGCTAACTAAATCTAAAAACACACTTCAAATCCACAAAGGATTATCTAGATCCGATACATGCTAGATAATGAAATCACAATCTATTTTGAACATCTTTCTGACAAATTTGATCCTGATTATAAATTGACAACAATTGTGTTATAGCCTAGTATAATTTCAGAGGAGTTTCTCGGACCCCTGGACAGTATATTGGCTCGGGCCCCCTCTATATAAATCGCGTTCCTGGCGTCCCTGCATATTTTGGTCGTGCATATATGCACGTGCTTGCTGTCACAAGGGATACAGTAAAAGCGCATGCGCATGCGCATGCGCATCGAGGTCCTTTGAGTTCAGGTGACATCATTCTTTTGGAGCAGAGTGGCGTCTTTTGTGCTTCACACCCATTACTACACGGTTAGAAGTCTTTGTTCTGTTAGAAAACACTGTAGTGATAATTTAATATCATGTTCTCATTATGAATGTGAACGTGCCCCATTAGCCTCACTGCCTTATACATAAATTGACAAATGTAAACCTTCACTGAAAAATGTTAACTGGAGTGAAAAGTGTGACAACTAGCCCCGGTGTTCTCTCTCTGTGTACCCAGTATTCTGATGACTATTCACATTGATCAATACAGCAAGTCCAAGTGATCGCCCTGTCTTGTAGGTAGCCTATTGAAAACATAGAACTTCTATCTGTATATTTCTTTGTCATGCAGGTTAGCACTTCTTTATAGGTTAGATATAGTATTAAGTAGGTTATTTGTGAAGCTTCACACTGTCAGACAAAAGCGCCATCTTTTGGTTGTTGTGGAAGCATGAAGCTGCCACAGGGTGTCATTTGTTGACCGTCAGCAGTTTACAGCAGTTCAGGCAGGGGCGTAGATCACGCGGGGGACGTGACCCCCACCCCCCTTTGTGTTTTTCAAGTCATCTCCAGGTAATAAATAAAGTATATGAACAATGCAGTGCTAATTGATAGCATTCATTACAGTATAGAAACTATTCTGCCTTATTACGTGATAAAAAAGTATGTATGTATATATGTAAAAAGTATGTATGTATATATATATATATATATATATATATATATATATATATATATATATGTGTG